ATATCGTGTGGATTTTCTTGAATGAAAGGTTATCCTGTGCTCAAATTCAGTAAGGAGAGAGGATCTCCTTCAATTTGGAAATAATTTGCTCTCGTTTGTTTACAGGCTCTATTAAGTTAAAAAAAAATCCTGCAAATTATTTCCAAATTGCACTCGAAACTATATCATTACCTATACTTATAGCCACTATAGGTTTGAAGAATACTTACATGAAATCCTTTACTCTTATGGCAGCCAAATATGGTACACCTAAGTATGCAGCTTCTAACTAGAAATAAATAAAATAAACTAATGAAAATAATGACCATGCAGTGAACGAAAGAACGAACGAACGAATAAGCGAACGAGCGAACGAACGAAGGAAAGAACGAACGAAAATGACAATAGCTACTTACTATTTTGATGCACTTTTGTTTAAGGTCATTGTAGTTTACTGATTTTGTATCTTTAAGGTCATCCTGCCATTCTTGGTTTGTTATTTTAAACTGCCCGGTAAACGTTTCCTTAAAAACTAAAGTAGAAACAAAAACAGTCAAATATCGCATAATGGGTTATAGCAAATTCATCTGATCAGGACTGAATCAGCTCAAGCTAGCGGCATTTGTAATTCTCATTATCATTACTCACATATTGGTTGCCTGTAAAAATGCAATGTCCTTTCTCGTACACCAACGCTATTTTCAGCTTTACACACAATGCTAGCATTGTCCACATCATTCTGGATGATAACTACCACCAAATACTGTTTTCTAGTTAATCCTGCATCATGGCTGGTGATGGTAGTCAATATATTCGGTGCAGAAGGATTGCAAGACAGGGATGCGTTACTGGGATAAGCGTTGATACTAAGGTTAAACAATACCAGTGAATTGGGCTGACTGTAGCTCTTGTTACTCGATCCAATCACTTCCAGAGGATCTAAGTCTGTTAAGGATGAAACAAAACACAAAAAACGAACGTGAAACAATCATAATGAATCTTCCTGGTTATTAGTAAACGCTCAGTACAGGTTACAAGTACTTCAATGATTATACATCACTTCAGGTTTTAACTTTGCAGGCATGCAGACATGCTGATAAACGGTAGAACCCTTAAAGTGGAAAATAAGAAAACAATAAAAGATGCGATTTGGCTTATTAGTGCTCATTTACGCGATGCCTACTCAAATTGTACGACAACTTCGATCAATTTTAGAATGTTGAGGCAAATGAAGAAAGGGTTTGTATGATCTCTAAAATCAGCAAATGACATTAGCCGTATAGCTTTTTTTCTGCAGAATGAAGAGATGGCTCACATTTGAAACTGCAGAAGTGTTCCCCCATGCTACAAGACCATAGGTAAGATAAGGGTAAATAAGGGAATAGTATAGGCTAATGTCGGGGAATACTTTTAGTGACATTATGACATAACTTAGCTAATATTCCAATACCACGTTTTATTTGACTTTCAATAAAGGAGACGTAAGACTTCCAATTTAAATATTTGTCAATCAGCACACCTAGATATTTAATGGTATGATCTTCCTCTAAGATATCGATCTTTAGTGATTATGATTTAACATGATAGGTAATCTTTCTTTGAGGTGTGTGAAAAATAAGGAAGTTAGATTTCTCAATATTTAAAGAGAGTTTGTTAGCAAACAGTAATTGATATATAGATTTAAGATCGCTCCTTATTAACAGCTGTTTCTAAGTGACATAAGCTTTTATTAGAGTGGAATATGTTAGAATTATCAGCAACAAGGTGAAAATCAACTGCATTGGATGATTTTTGAAAGTAGTTTAGATATAAGAGGAACAAGAGAGGACCAAGGAACGAGCCTTGCGGAACTCCCCCGAGAATTTGTTTTGTAGCAGAGGTAACATTGCCTATAGAAACAAAGTGACTTTCGCCCTAGCGTCCGAAACGTCAGTAAGATTTTTCATCAGCTTTTTATGGTGTAAAATTTACCCTTTTATCATTACTGTTTCATTATTGAGATAAGATTTGAACCAACTGTGAGCAGTGTTATTAGTCGGAAGGAAGGATTTTCTTCAGTGTTATAAATATTGTGGAGCTTCTCCTTCTTATTTCAAGGGTTAAACTGGCTTCCGAATTTACAGGATGGACATGGAAACCATGGTCTATTGTGGTATGGGGTATGTTTCAGAGGATGCAACTTATAAACCTTTAAACTAAAAAAAACCTGTTTAAGCTGAAGGTGCTAAATCGAGAACATAAAGACTACCCATGAAAATGAAAAGACATGTTGATGTAAATGATGAACTACTGTGGCTACTACTGCCCGCATGTGCCGCACGCCATCCTTAGCCGACTTGTGTGTGAATGCATTAGTACTCACAAAGAAATTTAAGAGGTGTTGTCGAACAGTTCTTTACTCCACGGGAGTTTTCTGCAGTGCACGTAAACGATTTGTTATGAAGATCACGTGAGGCAGTGAACATTACGTTTGATGCGGTACCGCGTTCAGCTCCTTTTCCAACATTCCAGGTGTAACTTGCTGGGGGATATGCAGTGACACTACAATTCAATGCTATGTTGTCTCCCTCCTTCACCTCAACTGGAACAGCTTCGCAAGTAAGGTCTTCAAAATCTTGTGTGGTGAGATGGATAGAAAAATAGTAAAAAATAATCAAATATACAAAGTGATAAACGAATGAAGGGAAAGTTGGGAGAATTGACAACTGGCAAAACTTTCAAATTTGTCACATCCCCCAGATATCAGTTTTGCTGGACATACGAATGTATGAAGGAGCTCTTAAAAAACAGGTAACCAGTCAGTCATTGAAATAAGGAAATGCATTTCCCCGTAATGTATACCTACGTTTTATTGCAGTTTCCAAGCAAACTCTTCAAAGAACAAATAATAGGTAAATGAGAAATGAAAGAACCAGAACTTTGGGTTCCCTAGACATACACACACACACACACCACACACACACA